GGCTCCGGTTGTTCAAAGGGCGGATAACGCTATCCAACGGATAAATCGCTATCCAGCGGATAAGTGTTACCAAAACGTACTGCGCTATCCACCGGATAGAGATTTATCCAGTGTATAGCGTTATCCATCTTTTGAACAACCGGGGCCAGGAGGATCAATACTTCGCAGTCCAAACCTCACAGCAAACAGGAACGTAGAACGAAGTTTAAAAATTGCGAGGATGGACAACTTCTGACGTAAAAAAAATTAAAAATTTTAATAAAAAACGTTTCGGTCAGAGACCTTCAGCTATTTACAACTTTTGAAATAAAAAAACAGAGCATTAAATAAGATCGAAGTGCTAATGATTACGTAATTACAGATAACGACTAATGAACTGGTGCTAATAAAAAGTATTATACACATATATATACGTATATATATATATACATGCGGGACCTTCCTGAACTACTTTCCACAATTCCTCATCCTCTCGCTACACAGGGCACCTTTTATTCTGTATTGTAGCGCATTCAGGACACGTGACCTATATTAAACAACTATTATATCCTTGGTTTCCGCATGAAGTTATAAAATAAAATTCCAAATTGTACTGACTACTGAGGTGTTACCCCCTGAAAGACAAGATCTTTTAAAAAGGAACCGTTTTACAAGGAACAGATCGATTTTTTTTTTCTTAGATTTGTAAATTGGAAAGCGATCTATTTCTCAATTTCCTTGAGAAGCCTGGTAAAACTTTTGGTAGCCACTTCAGCGAAAAGTTCGTGGGTCGAAAACCACAGCAGGGTCGAAGACATCAATATTTGGCGCGCTTAGATACACACAGGTTTTCACTTTAGTTCTCGGTTGCACTACAGTAGTGAGTGAATATGTCAGATTAAATTAATTTCGTTCGGTCTTCAGGTCGTCACTACTGGTACAACATCTCACCGGATATGGACTGCAAAGATTTTTTCCCGATGTTTCTATTGTACAACAGGGATCGTCTGACCGGATTTGGTTGGGTTGCCATTGGCAATGCTGACAGTCCACGATACGAACACCCTCCCCCTAAAAGACTCGGGGTAGGTTAAGTCACATTGACATAATATGCTTCTCTGTCTTTTGTACTTGAACATGTGCAAACAGGGTGCTTGTATGCAGGTAATATGCACTTGCTCGTATCCTTGTGAGGTGTATTTATCTCAAATACTTGTAAGCTGTGTGTACTCCTCTGCTTGTAACATTTGTTTTCTCGAATGCTTTTATGCTATGTTGGAAACTGCACGCTTCACATTGCAGCTTGCACTCGATCAATGTATTAAAAACGAAGTTTTGTCTCAAGGAAATGAAGATTTACTTGTTTCCGAGAATGGAAATGTTGCACGGCTTCTGAAACAAGAGATGAGAAAATTGTTTACAATCTCTTCTTCTGAAACTCTTTGCAATTTGAACTTTTCAACTTCGTAGAGCGGTGCGAGCGAAAAGCAGTTAATACTCTAGGGTCTGTGCCTAGAACTACGAAGATCTTAAATCTTGCTCAACATTTTTAAATTCTTGCCATCATTTCTATGATTTACAAGGAATCGGTCAATGGTGAATAGTGGTCGATTCGATTCGACAAATTCAATTATGTTTTTTAATTTTTCTTGCCTTCCAGTTTGGATTCTTCCTGAAAGAGACGCAGCCGAAATGCATCGCCAACCTCAAATCACTGACCACCCAACACGTCTATTTGGACAAGTGGCCACAGTTAAACTTCTGCTTTATCTAGACAACGCCACAGCAGAAGCAGCCTCTTTACCAGGAGCTCTCACAATTCCAATCCCTTAGGGCTTCCTCGCCGCAGGGGAGACCAGAAGGGACGTCATTGCGGACCTATATTTACCGTTAAAAGGGGAAAAATTTCAAGGGTATTTTGAAGTTGCGGGGTGAAAGATAATGAATAGGAAGATGAAATAAAAATAATGATAATAATAATAAGCTTGTTTCGAAACGTGTTTATAATTCTTTAAAAATTTGTGTTGAAGAGAGACAGAGAGATCAAAGTCTAAATTCGCTTAGCTCTGCACATTAAAAGCGTGGACTTTTAACCTTCAATTTTAACAAAAGTTAAAACTTCAGTATTGTTATTTTCAAATTTTTATCGTTGGGCAGTCATCAAAGATTAACAAAACAAAAGAATTTGTGAAAAGGGGTAAGTTTCAGAGTCAAAAGACGAAGGCCTTATGCTCGAAGCATCAGCTTCAGAAACTCTTTTATGATGGCCAATCTACATTATCAACTCAGTTCATTAGACTAAATTATAAAGAATTTTTGGTCGAGGTCTATCGGGAGAGGTGGGGGGGATCTCGAAACAATGATTAACGGCCAAGTCGCACATGAGAGTTAGGTGCTCAACACGCAACCTAGCCACGAGAACCCCGCACCAAGCCCCCAATGGCTCAGTGGAAGAACAATAATTAAACAAATAACTGAATAAATAAATAACCAGATCTGGACCCCTGAACAAGAAACCAAGCAGTTGGGGATGAGAGGGAGGGAACACCGAGAGGCTATCCTCAAGGAAGACAACGCCACGCTATAGTACAGCGAACACAATCCAAGCACATGGAAAAACAACGCATGCACTGATGAGGATTACCCCTGGCCTCCAACAACCTCAAGGTTGCTGCAAACGCTATAGAACGCACGCATGCAAACGCTGTACAAATGCTAAGAGATGGCTAAAACGCTAACAGTACGCCAACAAAATGCTACTGACCAGATTCGCTGCTCGTCGTTAACTATGTTAAATTCCATTTAACAACATTTAAGTATTTCGCCTTTCTCGAGAAATCATGAGGGATTTTCAGTGAATGTGAATGCCAAATGATGTTAACTTGTATCCTCTGTGCCTCTTCTTCCGCCGTCTAAGACCGAAGTGGAGACCTCCCTTAGGTTTAAGGTCTAATTTAAGAATTCAAATGATTCTTTAACGCTAGGATTCGCAGTCACTTTAAAGATCTTGCTGTCGGGAATTTCGAAAACTTAGCTTCTATAAGTGTTGTTAATTTCTATATTTGATCAACGACAGATCACTTGCTTTTACAGTTCCAAGGGGAAAGTTTGACAAACTGAAGAATAGTGATAGAAATGACATTACTACCAATGAAATGAATGCAAACCAAAACGTTCCCCGTGAGTGTTTGTGATATACCTTTTCAAAACATTTAATTATGTAGAGAAAACACTTTAATGGGAAAAAAGTGCAAATATTTCTGAACAATCAACGGTGCAAACTACTGTGTAATACTCATGAAACGTCTTTCTAGCAAATGTTAAAAAAGGGGTTGGAATCCAAGTAGAGATGCATCATCGACAGATGATCAGCGGTCCAAAAACAGGCTGGAATGGTACCTCCCTTGAACAAATACTACAGAGAGATAAATAAAGAAGGGTGTAACGATTCATACAGGTGTTCTTTGTAAGTGATCCAAGGTGCTACCGTTTTAGCCGCCATGGCGAGAAAAAAAGAAATTTTGAGAGTACATTTGCAGCGAAAGTCGCCAACTTCTCTGAGTAAGAGCAGTGGTGGAAAAGATAGGAAGCAAATGAGAGTTCAACACAAAGATATTATTAGCTTCATGGGCGAGCAAACAAAAGCGAGCATGTCATGATTAGTTAAAATTTCGTTTGTAATTGGTTGAAAGAGTGGCACGTGTTTTCTTGACCAATCACAGGCAAACTAAAAAAAAAAAAAACCAATGCAGGGTCGGATACTCTCGACACAGTTTAAAGAGCTACAATTAGCTGTACTTTACTTTTCATTCCAAACGAGATATACGTTAGTGTAAATATTTAACATTCCTCGACAAAAGCGAAGAAGGAGGCTGACAGGAGAATAACTTTTTCATTTCCTCATTTTCCTATTCAATATATATATCCTATTAACCAAGCGCGAGAGCCGCACTGGGAGAATATCGGCCCGAGGTCTTGACAGTACAGACCGAGCGCAGCGAGGTCCGTACAAAAAAGACCGGTCCCGAGCAAACAATACGGTCCCGAGCAAGCTTGGTTAATAATAGATTTATTATGCGACTGAAGTTCAAAGGGACACAAGTGCGGTATCATTCGGGACCATTCGGGACAGTGCCCGGTCCAATACTGAGAGAATATTGACCGGCAATAGAGCATATTGATTGGCTGATTTTAGTTATTGGCCCTCTGACTGCCCGAGTCGTGTAATAATACTGGTTACTGTCTCAGGAAAAACTGAGACTATTAATTGTATCACTCAATCGCAAGAATGGACGAAAGCTTTCATTTAGTTCTAGAGCTCACTCCGCAAAAAAGTTTTTTTTTTTCTGCAAACGACGCATTCGTGCCAAACCAATACATGGTACGTGTTGTGAGTGAACTTTCCATGGTACAGTTTTTTACTCCAAAGGTTTTTACTTAAAACAAGAACAACACCAACAGCATATACTTACCGGGAAAGATACATTTGTTGGATGCACAAATCTTGGGTTGTCAACTTTGTACGGCAATATCCAGCCAAATCCGTTCAAGACTCCGTTCGTGTACATCAAAAATACAGGCAATAGTGAATTGCAGTCAGACACATTTGGCAGGTCATACCAGTACAGTTTGCCTTGAAACACAACAAAGAAGAAAGATCATATAGTCAGTAAAAAATTGTCAACACCTATATCTCTCTTCCTCCTCCCCCCCCCGAGGTTTCAATAAAAGCCGGTTACGGTGGTCTTCCGCTACCGACAAGACCTCTTACCGCCGTCTGTTGAGCCCGCGATCAGGCTCTCATGTTTGGGTTTCGGTGGACTTTCATTTTTTTCTGGGGGAGCAAACTTCCCCCTCCCCGCTAGGGGAAAGGATCTCACAGCACCTTTTTCCGGACACAGCCGCCTAAAACATATCGTCAGCGGCTTGTGGAAAAAGTTATTGAAATGCCTTCCTTCCTCCAACGTTGTCATTACGTCTTCTAAGACATTTTTATCTAGAATAGACCTATAGTTTTAAAACCGTGACTAAATACAAACATAATTGTTGAGTTAGTACCCTATGACCTCCTCTGTAACCATAGAATACAAAATCTCAAACATCTGACATCGTTTCTCAACCCATAAAAATTGCATAATACTCAATAAAAAATAAATGCACATTATTCACTTACCCATCGTCCAGAAGCACTCTCCCTCAGTCCACACTCCACCTAATAGACCGCGCTCGAGCAAAGGGACCCGGACAAATCCGTTTGACTTTGAACTGTTTTGGATCAAAAGTCTATCACCGATGTATTTGGCTTTGGAGTTATGTTTATCAGAGCAAATTAGACTTGGATCCTTGAAGTAAGCGGTGACGACGTAAGAGTCGTCTTCTTGCCTCCATGGCAACCCCATTGGCTCCACAATTGATTTTGCAATCTTAAGAATGTAAAAGAGTAGATATCTGTTCATTTATCTAATAATGGCTGCCTGAAAACAGCTTTATAATCACAAAACACTTACTCCAGTTTGAATTCCGGCAATTTTGTCGTTTGCATCAAATAGCAGCATCAACGTCAAGTCCCCGTCGCGAATGTATCGATGACCTTGAAAATATGCTCTGGCTTAAAAAGAAAGAAAAAGAGGCATGTGTAAGGTAAAAACTTCATTACAATTTTAAAATGAACTCGTTGCGTGACAACAGCTGCAAAGGCCAAGGAAGAATAGGATATGATTGGCGAATTTGTTTTGCCCCCAATAAAAGAGAAAACGCATATTACAGATATAATTTGGATATATCAACAAAGTTGAAGTGGTAAATTGGCCACCGTAACGATTACAAAAGCTGAAGTTTCGAGCGTTAGCCCTTCGTCGGAGCATATTACAGATAGACTGAGTCCCATCGCTTTCGGAGCATGGGCGAAGTACGATCTCTCCCTAGGGAATGAAGCATAGACTTGTAAATAGGGGAAAGGTAGAGGGACAGACCATGATATGCGGAGTCATCATTTCGACATGCCTACAGTACGGTACTTCACATAAGCGTATCGGTCCATAAGTTCATTTCCTCCATTAATTTGTATCAGTTTGGTCAATTTGCTGACTTTTGGTAAGGTGAATAACAAAGAATACAACGGAAAACGGAAAGTTTTGTCACAAGATTGGTCGGAGAGGCAAGATAACAATGACTGCTTTATGAAATGGCGTCGCATTAAGTCTATAATTTTGGGATTTTGAAACATCATTAAGTTTTTAACTTACCCTGGCACTTATCACGCAAACCCCAGCCCTTTGCTACGGCATCGCTCACTGTCAGCGGTATCTCATCCCACTTCAGCCACGTTTCTTAAAAGTAGTATGTGAAATCGTGATTAGAACTGTATAATTAACTTGCTTAGCATTATAACATGAATGTTCTTGAGCTAAGAAATGAAACTGAACTTATTGTTTAGGTTTGCGCTTTGTAGTTTCCGTGTTGTTGACCTTTGTGTTTTCGTAAATCACACCAATCTTGGGTTAAGTACATTTTTAGGGTCAAACATGTGAAAGTCGAGATAGGTGTGTTCTGATTTGTAGTTGATCCAATACCAAATTCTCCGAACTAACATGATTATGGAAGACAGTAAGGAAAATTACTAATGAGATATTGAAAGTGAAACGATTAATACGCTTAACTCCAGATCACACTGAATATACGTCGTAAGCCGTTAATCCGGCCACTGTGTTGTGTTCAAGCTAGAACACTTGACGACCACAGTGCCTCTCTCCACCACCCAGGACAACACAATGGTACTGGTCGACTGTCAGGGTAACCTAACGAAATTCTGAGGGTGGGGAGGGGGGGCAACCCATACAATGGACTGGTAGGGGTGAGTAGCAATATCGTCAACACTAGTTGTTTAATCTCTGTTCGTTATAGCCTCTCACGTCTCTCTGCATTGAACCGAACTATCATTTTGTCTCCCTCACATCTATCACCAAGCCTTCGCTTAACCATACCTGATAGCTTATCCCACTCTGGAGTCACTGGATCTAAAGAAAAAAGGATAAGAATGAGTAAATCAATAGAGCTTAGCCCCCAAGCACATCAGTCCTCTCTCTACAATTACCAAAGCCTCTTCTCCCGGGTCTCTGATTTCTTCGTTCCTTGGAAGGGAGAGGCCTGTTTTGAGGTTCCAGATTCCCCCCTACCCCCTCCCGCGGATCGAGCTATCATCATTCACTACGGGACAGCAGGACAACGCAGATAAAAATACCATTTAAATGCTCTAGTTATCCTACAGGTTTTAAAATAATCCAGCTGTAAGTAATGGCCGGTGATGGCCAAAATACGTTCACTGGCGTTTCCTGTCTACATTGAATTGAAAGGGAGTGCTAGTGGGAAAGTAGGATTTAAAATTGATAAACGATTTGAAGATCAGTAAAATGGTTCCTAGGTTTTACTCTTGTAAGCTCACGTTATATTAGTACTCTATCATATTTCCTCGAGCGTTGCATAAGAACAAAATAATAATTAAAAAAAAAATGTCTAACCTAACCGTAACTTTGCACGTAGCAATATGAGGAAAAAAGACTTATGTTAAAAAAGTGATGAAGGCAGTGATCAAAAATCATTTGATACTTCACTAAGTATTCCTGAAATGTTATCAACTCCTTCATTTTCGGCAAAGGAAAGTGTAGTTTAAAAACAATTTTAGTACAGTAAGGGATTTGCCCTAATTAGTCTCTACAGTTTCATGCTATTTCAAGAACATGTCAAATAACTTAGCAGCAAAGTGATCAAATTGTTTTAGTTTCACTTCCTTGAAACCTTCTTTTTTTCGACTGATTACAGAATACATGGAATAACTTCAAATAAAAACGGAAGAATACATGAGTAATTCTCTTGCCTGCGTTTCTCGACCTATGCCAGTAGGTTCGAGCGGACACGACCATCACACAGACGACAAAAGCTAGGCAGTTCTTCATTTTTCACGAAGACAATCCAACAAGCAGTTTGACTTAACAAGGCTCTAAATGCTTCTATGCTATAAGAACAATTTACAACTCTTTTAAATACTCGTCTACGGGAGCGGAGTAAGTAGGCGCCCCATCGTCATGCTCAATAGAAAGCAATGAATGAAGAATGACAAAAACACTTCAATAGTCCATGGGGCAGGAAATTCAAACAGCGACCTTAGAACGGATCAGTAGGATTTCTGCACGCTTACGGAAAAAAAAGAAAAAAAAAAAACAAAAAACAATGCTATGTTTATGGTGAAGTATTCCTTCTTCAGATCGACTATTTTTTTACCTTATCATCCCAGAATGAGCTTAAAAATTATTAAATCTCGATCTTTAAGAGCTTATATTGGATTTCCAGAAAGGTGAACTTAGATCGTGTTTCAGTTTAATTACTGATTGAAAATTGTTTTCTCTTGTCTTAAGTAATATTTATGTAATACTTAAAGAAAATTTATAAAAATTGAATTAAATCCTGAAAAGAATAGTATGAAAATTATTCAAACCGTCGTTTATAATTCAGTCTCCAGTTTTTCTCGTGAGAGTATGGCCGCATAATGTTCTTCTTACGTTTTGACCTCTGTCTTAAATCTAATATTTATCATAAGAGATAAAGGTTTCAAAGAGGCAGAGAGCCAACAATTGCGGGTGGTTTCCTGTTCTGGGAAACTTTGGCTCCACAAAGCTTTCCAGTCTGATCAAGACGTTTAGATTTCTCAAGTTAAAAATATAATGACAAAGGAATTTTACTTGACGCGGTTTTACTGTGAAGAAATCTTCCCCACCGACGACGAGGCCTGTTGGAATTAAAGTTATCATAAAATTCCTGCGAAGTAAAGTGTTTGTCCTACAATCGTGGCTGTCAAAAACAGCTCTTCCCTCTGACGAAGAACTACAACGCCAGAACCATCAGCTGTAGGACCTCTTTATGGAAGCCAATTTTCATGGTCAACTCAGTTGATAAAATCAAATTATCTTGTCAAAAAACAGAGTTGAGTTCAAGATACTGTATACAAGAATTTTTAAACTTAACATTGGAAATATGTCATAAAAAGCTTTATGAAATGGTTATTAATCAGAGGGGATTCGGTCATGAACAAACAGCGAGCAATGGACTTATTCAGTGACCCTGTTCCAGACATTATTCTTTCATTAGTAAAGTTTTAAAGATTGTGGTTCATCGATCTAATCCAGCCACAAATAGCATATCAAGACAAGAAAAATCAAACAGAACAATAACAATAATAATAAATATTTATATATCAAATACGTTGTTTAAAATCAAGAATAGGATTTCAGAGGGTATAATGCTGAGAATCACAGCATGAAAATTTGGTAATGAAAGAATTGAATTGAAGTCACAAAATGAGATATTCATTACCTGTTGACAGGACCCAGCCGAGATAAAAGCTGAATCAAGCAAGCGAGCCTTCAAAAACACTTCCTGTGATGAGAATCTCACCGGTCCAACGTTTGGTATACCACTAGAGTTTTCATTCCCCATTAGTAGTGGCAAGGAAGAGGCCAATGGAGGGGAGGGGAGGGGAGGGGAGGGTTGGTTGCGTTATCTCCACAAGAAACTCCTCTTTATAGGGGAGATCGTAACAGAAATAGACTCTAAAAATAATTAGATGTTAACTGGGTATCGGACACCCACTTTTCTAGCTACCCCTCTCTCTCTCTCTCTTACAACTGAAAATGATTAGCTCGAAAGGGATCTGGCACGAGTGAGAAGTTTCGAGACGACTTAAATTGGCGAAATCTATCTAGATCTAAAAATTTACTAACAGTTACCTGAGGCTTATGAAGCAATTTCCAATAGAGTGTTGTCGATGGTGACGTCATCCCTGCGTCTCTTCTACATTAGATCATAAATAAAAGCCGATCGAAATGCTTGTACAATTAAGCTTGCTATGTAATTAATAATTAGTTGATCACAGATGACTTCAAAAGGTGATAAGAACACCAGTGACGCGTTCGCGTTTGCCTACGCTTGTGTGCCAGTATTTGCTTTTATACCACGCTCTGGCGTCATCTGTGTAACTGAACCAACACATGGCAAAATGGAATCTGTTGTTTGATAAAAATTGAAAATGACCTCATATCACGCCACACGAACGCGTGCTTAAACGCTTCGGTCGCTTATCGATAGAAAATGAATGGATGTAAATTCAACCTTGTTTTGTCTGTAAGGGTGCTTCCATACCCTTCCTACGCTTTTGCTAAAAGTTCGTCAAGCACTTGAAAGCTTATTGCGGTCTCTCGAAACGGTGATTTAACCCTTTCGCCCCCAAGATCTCATCAGTAATTCTCCTTACTGTTTGCTATACACTTCTCTTGATATAAGTTGGGAGGATTTGGTATTGGATCAACTAACAATTCCTTGATTACTGTCTCTTTATTCTCATCACTTACCTGCTTCATGTTGTATTAATATTGTAAAGAGAAATTCTCTCTTGGTCGCCACAGGAACCAAAGAGTTCAGTACTTTGGAAGAGATAAAGGAAAGTTTAGGAGCTAGCTTCAATTTTTCGCCTTTAACAATTTGACCGTTTGATGAAGGTGAGTGAGAGCGAATCGTATTCAGATATGTAATACTTTCCACGGACTGCTGGTTAATTCGTTTTCTTATTTATCCTAGTTGGGTTAAAAAGGTATATGAAACATGCATAAGCTACTAAAGGTGACCTCCCAGCAGGTTGAGTTGCATCGTTCTGGTGAACTGTTCCGAATATCGTGATATTAAGAAATTATTATACACGGTGGATATCTGACTTTCAAATTAGAGAATATCCAGGTCAGTTGCAATGGCGACACACACACGCCAGCGCGAAACACATTTTTGGGGCGTTTTACGGCAATTTAAATAAGCTAAAAGGTACCCTGCTATTTTTGATGCTCATTCAAAAATAATCCCTCTACAGAATTCATTAAGAGTAATTAAATTTATCGCATTCCTGAAAATCTTGAGTGCCTTGATTCTCACTCAAGATATTTTCAATGATATTATCATTTTTAAAACTTTCTGCTCAGCACATGCTTTGTCGTACTTAGTCATGTTTAAAGTAGCTCTTGGTGACTGTCTTTCCGGTATATGATAAATGGAGTGTTCTGGGCTGTTTACAAAAGCTCGATTTACAAATCAAAAACACTAATTGGATGTGGTCTATTGAAAACATGTTCGTTTACCGGCGTAACAGCTAAATACTTTCTCAAATCTGTTAATTGTTCGTCTTCTCGATGTAAACAACTACCGCGGTCGTTTTAGCATGCACGAAAGACAAAATCTATGAAAATCAGATTCTGAAAATGAAATCTAAAACAGATAAAATACTTCGTGAGTTACTCGGTTAATGAGGAATTTTAAAGAGACAAAAAAACTCAACTCACGCTTTTTGTAATGAATTGTTGTTTTGTTTTAAGTTTTAAATAATTAAACATTAGTATTATGGACAAAGGCAGCTTGCAATCAATTTAAAATTGGCGTGAACATTTGTGTCCGGTTTTTGATCGAAGTTGACATTCATATAGGCTCTTCTTAGGGGATTAGGAGGAATTAAATTCACAAGTGAATTACATAACTCAATAAAATTATTGAACACTAAACTTCCCACATTAAGGCATCGCTAACTTACGTAGAACTGGACCTGAAAAAAACGTTGAATATATAAGAAATTGGTAGGTTTTTCAGTTAAACGTCAATGACACTGATCCTATAATGACGGTGAACTTTGCAAACGCAGAAACAAAAGCGATCTAGCACATAAACTACTCAATGAAGAGTTTAAGGCGAGTAAATTTACATCATAAATAGTCAACAAAGGGGAAAAAAATGAGACAGTTTGTTTGTTTCAAACTGAAACCTACACGAAATTCATCCAAGTGCTAAGTGGGAAAATCAATGCTTTCTCTACCAGGCAAACAACTAAGAAGACATAAATGAACGGACCGAAAGATATGTCGATTTGACAATTAAAAATGGGGCCATCAACCATGCAGGAGTCATAATAAATGACAAAAATCTCCCACTCAAAATTCCGCATGAATATTTAATTTTTGTCATAGCAGATGTCTACAGTTGTTCGTTGTTGATCAATGAATTTCTAGCGGAAGATTATGGCCGAACTGTCGCGTGTATAAACGGGATACAATTTTGTAATGAAACGTGGTTAACTCTAGGAGTATTTTGCTTCATATTGGGATAAAAATGGTTTCAGTCGCAGCTAATGCTTTCGATGGATTCGACCAAACGACCCAAAAACGCAGTTTGATAACAAGGGTAAGTTTCTGACAAGATCTCGTTCAGTTATTTATAGTTAAGTTTCTAAATAGGAAAGTCTTCAAAAACATTGATAAACAGGCAGAAATGTCTCGAGGTGTTTCTTGCGCCCATAACACTTAAGGACGGATTACAGTGTTTTCGGGTTTGAAAATGATCTCGACATATTGACTTCGAATAGAGAAGCCGCTAAATTCAATTCATTCACATATCACCCACTGTGACAAAATGCTGCAAAGAAAAAAATACATTCGATGTCCACAGAAACGATTTGGCTGCCAACCTGACCAAATGGCTGATTTTTCAGTCTTAGAAGACTTTAGGGAATGCGAAGAGGCAAGACTGGAATAGTCTGGTGCGCTTTTGAGAACTTCGGAAAATAAATGTATTATTTTATTATTTTCAACTCCTTCTCAAATGAACTAATAAGATGTGTATACTGAAACATTCGCAGACAGAGGATTTCGCCCGACAGGGATTTACCAGTGATTAGTTTTCTGAGTAAAATCTCCAGGCGCGCTTACACGTCCTTCAGAAAAAACGCGAGACTACAGAGAAGATAGGAAATAGTTACATTTTTGTTTATCGAATTTTCTGTGAATGCAGTCCACGAAATAAAGCACAAGTAGTCAATTGACATCTACCATAGCCACAAAATGTTACACCAGCAAAAAAAAAAAAAAAAGCGGCGAAAAATAGCAAAATTGGGCTGGCGTTGAATATTTTAAAATCTTAAGACTCGTCATGAATATATACGTGCTTGACACATATAGCGGCGATTGTTTTCGACTAAAATGTGGTCGCCTAATTC